CTGCTGGCGAACAGAGCAACAAGACCAAGCTCTGTAATTATTAGGATCTCTGTCCAGTAGTGCCGTGTTTGTCCCATCGAACTGGATCGCCAAATCAATTGATTCATAATATATATATGCAATATTTTTTCCTGTAACATGAGAGTAATTTTAATAGTTTCATACTATTAATTAAATGTAATGTTAACTGTATTTGTTTAATTGTTTTAAATGGGGGCACGCTACAAGAGTCCTATCTCGCACCCCGGGGCAACGTGTCTGACACGGCCGGTTGTAGCAACTACTCCGAAGATCAAGATTACATTAATCTTGATCTAAGGAGACACGAACGAACGATTGCTTTACAACGTGATTTTTTTTCTTGATATCAAGCATTGATTTCTTGATAAGTTTTAATGATAAAACGGGTTGCAATAAGCTCGCGCCAGCTCGCCACAGCTCAAGGCTCCAACTCGGCTAAGTGGGAGCCCTGCTTTAAAGCAATGCTTATCCGAATGCAACACAATGATCCCAAATTTATTCTTTGTTTTAATATTTTATTTCAATTAGACTATTCAGGATCTTATTTTTTTTAAAAAGATGTTGTTTACTTCAATAGAGGTCTTCACGTGCAGTTAACCCTCAGGGCGTGTTTGGAACACTGACTGGAAACAGATCAGTGGTCAGGAATCAGAATTTTTTTTTTCTTTTCAATGAAACCCTACCTGAAGACTATAGGAACGGAAGGAGGGAGGGGAGGATAGATAAGAGAGAAGAGGGAGAGAGAGATAGAGAAGATCGGGGGAGGAGGAGGAGGAGGAGGAGAGAGCGAGAGAGAGAGAGAGAGAGAGAGAGAGAGAGAGAGAGAGAGAGAGAGAGAGAGAGAGAGCGAGAGAGGATCAGGATTGAAACAAAGAGCATTTGGCTTGGCAACGTCTCAGCCTCCAGCATTTTTCTATATCCGTGACTGATTGTCCCTATTTCCTTATCATTTATGACTTCCTTAAATTAAACAGTACTAAAATATATTCATCATCAGCATCATTTCATTATTCAATTGTTTTATCTTCATTAAGTCACAATCATTGTATTATCACAAGCAGGGCCACTCCTTACTACCATCATCACCTTTGAAAATAATGATATAATTCGTCCCTATTTTCACGAAGTGACGGTAGTGGGGAAAATCGTAACGCAAAATAAATGCAATTTTTTTTTCACTACCGTCACTTCATGAAAACAGCGACGAATTGTTGGTAGCATTATTTACCTCTTCACCACCCCAATCTACCGTCGTCATGAAAATCGTGATGCTTTTCTTCATCACTTCAAATTTATAGCTCAGTATTATCATCATCATCACCATCATTATCATCAATCATCATCATCATCATCAAAATCAACAACATCAGTATCATAGTCATCATCACAATCATCATTACAATCAACATCATCCCGAACACCATAATCATTTTCATCATCATCTTCATCATCAATACTATCATCATCACTGACATCAAACGGAAACGGAACATCAGCATTACAACTTTCATCTCTATCTCTGTTGAAATCTAAAGACACAAATCTCTAAAAACAGACCATTTTAACCCACAACAGAGTTTGTTTTGCAGTAGCTTTTTATTGGAAAAAATTACATTTTCAGCATTTTTTTTCTTCATTTCTTGAAACAAGTATTTTTCTATAGCCAGCGTTATTATAATACATTCCAATAGTTTCCCCAATGATAATCATAAAGAGTCATTATAACAACATACTTGATTAGATATCTGTCAGAGGTTTAGTACATTTACATACAAAATACATGTGTTTTTAATTTATACATATCTTTTTTGTATCTACATGGCATTCAAAACAATACATTTATCATCCCCACTCAAAGCAATTCACAGTAGTTATCAAATTGGCAACACAAAATGGCTACCATCAAAGTGATTGTCAGAATGATTTCATTATTTCAATATCAAATAATCTAACTTTGATTCTAGGAGATCAGACAGGTTTAATAGAAAACATAACCCCTTCTAAAACTGAACACAATTCATTGCAGATGCAATAAAATTCATACCAGCGCAGATTTGTTAAAAAATTGTTATCCAAATCATCTGTTTTTGTTGTTGTTATAAGATTCTGAAAGCACCAATTTAATCCCACTTTAAAACATTACAGCTATATAGAAATGTAGTTCTTATCTTTAGCTTTGAGAGTGAATTATCATATGTGTTTGGTCGAAAAAAGGGAACTTCATGCCAAACATGGGCCATCATAGTGTATATTTAGAGTCTTTAATGGTGCAGGTTTAACATCAATCTTCCACTTTTTCAATAGCTGTGTACCAAAAAAGCTCTTTTACAAAGAAATGAAAAGTGTTCAGTTTAGGTGTATAGGGGTGGGACTTAACAAACACAGATCTGTATAAAACAAAACAATTGTTTACTTGACACGACGGAGAATAGATACACTATCACTCATATCTATGACTTTATGAAATCTAAGTTTCTATTCTGACTTAACTCCAATACTAGATCATTTTTGTCATGATCATACTGCGATGCGTTGATGTATGTTCGCTAAATACTGTTTGAATGCTAAAAATGAACTGTTCATAACAGCTCCGTAAAATTTATCATTGCTTGAATAATCTTCTCCAAATGGATACACTATTTACAGACTCTGTATAAAATTTGAAAAGGCAGTTTGACGAAGATTCACTGCTCAAAAGCTGTCTTTTTCTAATCTTTTCTCTGGAAAAAATGCATCAAAAAATTACTTTGATGCTCATCTGTAACAATACAGTGTACAACTTGAAGAAAAAAAAACGGTTAGATTATTAGTATGAAGCTAGGAACATAAAAACCCAAAGGCGGAATGCAAAAGCAAAATAACATAACTTGAAGAAGCTTTTAACTTCTAACATACAAATAACTAGTTATCTTTTAAAAAACAAAGATTTCAATGTGTAACTCCAATAACTCCAATAGTAAATTCCAATAGTAACTCCAATAGTAAATTGAAAACAAATAAAAACAAATGATGCATAATGTTTTAACAAAGAGTTACTTGAATGGTGAAAAGTTAAAAACTACATTGACTGTAATGCTTTGCAAACATTACTGAGCTGTTAATATAATCAATTTACATTTGAAAATTTTAAGAATTTGATTAAAAACTAAAGGAACATAGAAAAGGAGAAAAGGGGAGTTAAACAAAACCCACAGAATATGCCTTTAAAAGCAGCCAGAACTATATGATAAAATAATGATAATAAAGCATTTGTTAATACTGTTATGCAGATCAACCAAAAAATGTAATTATCTAGAACTTTTGCTTTGTTTTTCTACAAATGTACATTTCAATTGCATGTTGCAAGTGCAAAGGTGCCTGTAATACAAGAACATCTTTTTCACTTTTCTCCTTCTCCCGAGAGAAACGAAAAGGAAAAGGTGTCGTAAAGCGTGAAAGTACTACGCCCTCGTTACAAGTCTTAAGAAAACATCAAAGAAAAGGAATTCTCCCAAATATACAACTTGTTGCACAGACACAGAAGAAGAATGATAAAACATACATAAATCACTATTACAGAAGAAAACAAATCGAAGCAAAACTGCATATCACATGTCGATATCTCACATGCTTAAACAACATACTTTTCTTCTGGTTACCACTTCACGATATCATCAGAAAAAAATTTGTATATCAATATAATAATTTCTCAAATATTTTACACATTTTACACAGCGTTTTCGATATCAAAAAGCCAAGCTTCACAACAAAATGACAAAAAATGCACAAATATAAAGAAAAAATATTGTCATTCACCTGTCATCACAATCACTATTTAAAACAGAAAAAATCATGACTAAAGAACGTATCATCATCACCGTCATCATCAAAACTGGAAGCATATTACATTGAATATACACTGATGATGTTTTTTCACGTGTTCTTGTACATCAAGATATAAAACGAACATTTATGCAGCTCCGTGTGTGCCACCAATACACTCAAATGTCAAAAGTTTGGAAGCAGAGGGGCTTTAACTTGTATCATTAATACACAGAGATAAGGCCCCTCTACCTCCGAACAGACAATGCCTTGGGTTCAAGTGATTGGTCTATTTTGCATAGAGGGAAAGAGTGTCTAATTTCAAATTGATGTGAAACAAAGTATTTCAGCAAGAACAATTATTCAATACCTAATTTCTTTTTTTTCTTTTTTCCACAACCTAATCACAAACCAGTGATTGTATTTCAATCGAGTATACTTTAGGGCAAGGCCAAGCCATTTATTTTGTCCCAAATGTTACCGACCACATCTAAGATGTTTAGTTGATGGGGGGTGTTTCACAAAGATCCTAAGTCGAACTTAAACATTATGGAGAGCTATTTGTAGCCTTTAAAAAATATATATTCAAAATCAAGCATTCTATTTTTTCAGACTCTACATAAATTCCACATCAAGAACATGAAATCTCCTTGATAATAGAAAATATGAATGATTTGAATCAACATTTTATGCATTTTAAAACAACTTTTACAGAATATTTTCAAAGATGCTAACGGCTTTCCATAATTGTTAAGTCCAACTTAGAGATAAGTTCAACCAAGCAGGTCCATGGTTCGACTTAGGATCTTTGTGAAACACCCCCCTTGATTATTGCATGTATTTAAAAGCCCTACTAAAGCTCATATCAAACCAAGGCCCTGTTTCATAAAACCTGTTATCAATAAGAAATGCTAAAACTCTAGCACAAATTTGCTCTTAGCCAATCAAATCCAACGATTTCAGTAGCTTATACCAATTATTGAAACTGTCTTTTATGACACAGGGCCCAGATGTAAAGAGAAAAGACAAATTTGAAGTCATTTTCTGTTCAGAACTCTGCCATATAAGGTAACATTTGGGACACCACATCATCAAATAGCTAGGACTTGCCTTTCTACATTAAATCTGTGCTAGATGAAGATTGATTGTGCTAATGTTGACTTGCTTTTTTCGACTGGTGTAAAACATCGATACATTCCTGCAAAATTACCAACAGAATAATGAATTTTGACAAGAACAACAACAGGTAGACACCAATGAAATTATCAAATATGTAGTAATATCTTCTCGGAGTATTCACAGATAAAAAAGGGGAAATTATTATTACAAATTACAGTAAAAAATTACCACATTTAATTGCAATGTGTTTTTGGAATTCAATGAAGAATTGCTTGATTTAATCTGCCCCTAATAACAGGGATATATATCGATCTTTGAGATCTTTTATTTTTATTTTTTTCATTTCAAGCTCATACAAAATATTTTCAATCCATTCAATTTCATTTTTCAAGAGAGCTTATAGCTCATAATGTACTTCCATATTATCATTTCAGTTTCTAAAAAAATAAGTTACCTCGTTATTAATTTCTTTTTTATCATGATTTTTCATGAAACAAATATCAACACCAGCCTATTCTTGTGTAATTACTATATTGTCATTGGAGAAGTGGAATTACATCAATCTGACGTAAAAATATATTCAGTGTGAAAGTAGCCGTGGTCTGGAAGTGTAGTGCCCATGCTAAAATTGTAGCACAGTTTACACTTTGCATGCGTCTTCCACATGTAATCTCACATGAAAGCTGCTACATGTATTACTTGACAGTTTACTTGATACTACAAAACTAGACAGAAAAAATGACATTATCCTGAAAAATCTATGATTTTCCCCAAAATACAATATATTACTTGATTGTCTATGCAAAATACTTTAATTTACAATAAATTACTTTAAAATCTTGATTTCTGATCACAAAATTAGTTCCATTTATACAATTAAATTTCCCCAAAGGAGGTTTAAAAACAGACAGTTACACTTCATAGTACTGGCAAGTAAACAAACCATTTATTCACACACCCCTCAACCGAAGGTGGACTAGCCCAAATTTAGCTTGGAATCGCATAAGAATCCACATGTGGGGGTACAGAGACGAGATGTTCCATTTACCTATATGGGGGGATTTATCTCAAATTCACAGCTTGAGAGCATTGGTTATTTATGGGATAATACCTCAGGACTTGTAAAATTCCTGGGAATTAGACCGTTTAAAACAGAAATGAATCAAGTCTTGTACATCTTTTTCATACAATTTTCAGACCTTACAGTAATCGCATTGGCACATTAGAAAATTTGGTACATCATTTCATTTCATTCTAGCACAAATTGTCTTTCTCCTTTCCCTCTTTTTGGATAAGGACATTCTTACCTTTTTAAAAGAATTGTTAGAAAATCACACAACCTTTTTTTTTAAAATTACACTACGCTCCTTGATTACATGTGTTGCACAAATATAAAACATCTTTTTTTCCCCACACAAACATGAGTTGAACAAATTATACATTTAGGTTGAGAGAAAGAGAGAACATCTCTTATAAAAACGAAGCGTTATAAAACAGATAGCATCATGCCCTTTTTTGGTTAAAATAAGTAATAATTGAAAAATACAACGAGCGGGAAAAGAGTCAACATAATAATCATTAATTTCTGGATGCAGAACCCTGCACCCTAACACATATCACAATTAGCTCTCTATATACAGTTCAAATGACAAAATATAACCACAAGGTTCATTATGCTTGAAATACTTAAAATTCTATGATTGTCCATTTCTTGAGTTTTTTCCTACATCGAAATTGTACATAAATCATCTCTGATTTACTTGTCAAATAAATACAACGCCATCCAAAGAGAGAGTAATATCTCCTTAAAGTCTAAGAGTGGTAGCACTTTCTTAGCACGACTCGCATAGCTTGGTTCTTGTCAAAGATTGGTCTAATCAATTTCATCAAAAGTGATACAATCAACGAGACGATTACATTAATATTTGACAGATTTGTTACGTTCTTGAACACACTTTTATATCTTCTATTTCAAAAAACAACTCAGTGTCGCACAAATCTTTCAAATAGTTACCCTGTAAGAGCTGCATAAATGACAGTGCTTGTGGAAAAGCCTTTTGCTTCTCTTAAAATTTGCCAAATAGACGGATTTGGGTATAGAATAAAGTGCCATTCTGTTTGCTTGTGAGTATGAATTTACAGAAGTGCCTTTAACAGCAACGCCTGGTGGGCAAAACCTAAACAACAAAAATGTGTGTGGTATAAAAATATGTTACTGCATTTTCTTTTTTTCTTTTTTTGTTTGTTTGAAAACAGCCCAAGTGCAGAAGGATTGGGTGTCTATATGTACCAATTCTCAGTGCTTTAGACTCTAAAAGAGTGATATCATTTCTTTTGTCCATTTACATAATCCATACTGGCAGTGCAACATCTGAATCTGACTCTACTTCTGAATACTTTCATCAATCTTGCATCCCTGTGCGCTTGATTCAATTTCCAGTCTGCACAGAGAACTAGCGGTCTAAGGATGAGTTCCTTTACATCTTTTTTTAGAAATGCCTCTCAATCGCCAAACTACAATATATTTCCTCGATCAGGACACTCATCTTTCCTCTCGATGCTCGCTGCGTATAGAGCCCAACATGGCGTAAAGCCACAACCATTCTGACGATCCCTTCACATGATCTAATATTTACTAGGAATCTTTCGATTTACATTGCTTACTCGGATTCGATTAGCGAACAAAGAAACATCAGGTACGTGTGATAGGGAGTTCTGCTGAAACCTTAATCCGTATCTTGCGGGAAAGACGGATAGAGGGAACAGCTCCGGAATGCCGCGTAACTACGGGAAGATGCAGCATTTAGGATTGCAGGTTGTCTACATGAACATGGTTGCTTTGTGGGTGAGCGCATTAGTTCTGAAAGATTCAAAAGACCACACATTTGATGCTTAAGCATATCGCAGAGAGACTCTCTCTCTCTTTTCTAGATCTCAGTGAGTTCATCGAGTCCTTTATCTTCTCCTTGTAAACTGCTTTTGTCCAATTGCAACAGGCATTTTTTAAGTCCTCACAGTGCATTTTCAGAGATTATGTTCTGTAATGTAAGAACATTCCACTTGTCCAGGTTGATTAGGTGTGAGGCTGTCCCACATCTAGAAGTTCATCTGGAGAAGTCTCACAGGGCTTTCGGTAGCTCCACTATCGGAGTAAGACCAGACCTCTGACAAGTGGTCCTCGCGACAACCATCAGGGGTCGACTACAATGGGACTGTTCCACAACAGTCCAGGAAATGTAGCTTGGTAGGACGAATCCCTTTTTGCTTTGTTCAAGTCCCAAGGGGAGACACCCATTGCCCTAACACATCCATCAATATATGCATATAAAGTTCTGATTGAAGTGTTCGGTTGGGTAAGAGTTGAAGGGTCGGGGATCAGGGGTTAGACCAAGGTCTCGGCTGCTTGCTCCAACTGGGCTCGTATGGAGTGGATGCCTTTCATGATCTTCTTTTGATGTCCGGCCAGCGTGACCCCTAACCTTGGAAGGTCACTCTGGGACAGTCTGGCGATGTCCTCAAGCCGGACGTAGCCTGCTGCTGTAAAGGAATCCTTGTAGCGTCCCATCTTGAGGCTGTCAAGCCAGTCCGAGACAGAGTTGAAACGGCTCAGGTCGTTCAGGCTCGAGCTGAGGCCAAGTGGACTCCTGCACAAATATAGAGAATCAATTTCAATATCAATGTCTCAAACACACCTTTAAGGACACAAATTTCTGTTATTGGAGTAAGTTGTAGTAAAAACTCCTTCTTGCAACATCATATTGATGGCAAAAGAATGATAGAAATACAAGCATGCGTTGAAAATGATATGCTTAAAATTTTGAGGGACTTGAATACTTCTATTCACCACTTCCCCCAAAGTAATTCTATTTTTGTCTTTGCTAAAACAAAAAGCTCCAGCTCCTAATGAGTAAGTGAATGAGTGAGTCTCTGACATGACTAGATATGAACCCCTCTTTTTAACATCCTATCCAAAGGTATAACTTCCAGCCTGCCTGTCTAGCTTACCCATTTTTGGCGAGAGGCCTGAGTGCATTGGGATTCCTGATGAGCCGGTCCAGCGTTGAGACGATGGTAGTGAAGGTTGGACGGTGATTTCGGTCTCGTTGCCAGCAGTCTAGCATGAGCTGATGAATGGCCTCCGGACACTCCATGGGAGGGGGCAGCCTGTAACCCTTCTCAACTGCTTTGATAACCTGTAAAACATGGGACAAAGAATGTGTTAAAGATATAGACCGGTAGTGGTAAAATTGCGGTTCAAGGGCTTTGGGTGCAAAATATCCATTCAATATTGTTTAAATATTACCTTCAGAGGTTTAGATGGCAATACTTCAACCTAAATTCGCAAATAAACTGAAATATATGCCCAAATGTTCAATGTTGAAGGGCACTCACGATATCTATCCAAGCCGGATCGATGTGATAATTTACCAAATATATCAATTAGTAGGCGGTTTCCTGGCAAAATTTGTATAATCAGGTATTAGTCAAAACATATTCTTTCATATGATTTGGTAATAAGAGCTTTCATTTCATATTTTGAGAGGGGGCTTTTCAAAAACTGGTCTTTACCTTTAATCTTTGAAGAAGATGCACAAGACTTTATCTCGTTGAGATGAAAAACAAGATAGTATCTTGTGAATAAAAAAGGGGATTATATTTTTTTCATTCTTGGACAAAAGACATATATGCAATTATCAGCTACACTGTAACACCCAAATACATGTTTCTGAGTTTGCTTTAATTGTGGTTATAATTATCTATAAACAAAAGCAACATACTCGATAATATATCCTCTAGAACAATAAACCATCAAGCTTTTTGTGGCCATCTTTGCAATTTCCTGAGATAGCCTTAAAAGATGGGTTTCTAGTTCGTCATGGACAATAGCGGAAAGTTTGTTGGGGTACACTCCCATTTCTTAGGTGAACCCTTTGGATCAATTTCAATTTTATTTATAGAGCTACCTTCATACTGATTTCCACACCAGGAAAAGGTGCTTAAGGCTCATAAGACTATCTGTGTTTCATGGACACTTACAGTTTTCTTTTTTATAAAAACAGATTTCTGGTCGGTCTCTAATGATACTAAGAGATTTTCTTCGACATACTCTTATCTTGATTCGTTTGGGCTATTCAAATATTTCACATAGTTGGCACAAGGAGATATGGAATATGTGGCTTCCTTTACTGTAGAGACAGATTTCTAGGAGATCTTTCCTCCGACTCTGAGTGTCTTTGGTCAATACTCACATCTTGGTTTGGCCAATTCCAGTAGGGTCTCTCTCCGTACGACATGATCTCCCACATCACTACCCCAAGGCTCCACACATCACTGGCTGACGTGAACTTCTTGTATCCGATCGCTTCAGGAGCTGTCCACCTAATAGGGATCTTCCCACCCTGAGTGCGGAGAGGCAAAGAAAAGAAAGTGAGAATCTCATTGTAAGAAACTGAGTTGATCACAGCATGTAGACGAAACTGCCGACAAGTAAGGTACTACGGTTGAGGAATGTTTGTAAATTGCAATGATTATTTACAAGGTGGAACCGAATAACTGATACATCTTTCAGAAACATTTTATAAAAGGCATTTTTGATGGACACTTTCTGGATTAGAGCTACAAATCTCCATTTCTCTATTTGTTCATGTCTTGCAAGTGTTACAGGAATCTGCAAACACAAGAAATTTTTGAAGAAACTGTGGAAACAATGTTTAGAATGATTCAAATTATACTTTTTTCTCAAGGGCTACCACTTCCAACTCTTATCCAGGAAAGGAATATGCTTGGAGGCTGTTCTGAAACTATCCCACAGCCACTTGTCTTTGCGGCAGTTCAGTAGGTATTTTGACAAGGATGGTAGAACTATCATCCTTGATGCTTTACAGGCTGTTCTAAAGGTATTCCTCAAAGAACTATTTTCATGGAAGGAAAGATATCCTCAAGGCTCTTCTGACAGTAGAAGACCACTCACCCTTGTTTCATAGGCTCCATCCAGCTCCTTGCGTCTCGACAGCCCAAAGTCCGCTACTTTGCACACAAGATGTTCATTCACCAGGATGTTGCGAGCAGCGAGGTCGCGATGCACAAAGTTCATCTCTGATAGAAATCGCATTCCAAAACCGACGCCACGCATCATTCCAAGTAGTTGGGTCACTGTAAATCGTCCGTCATTTTCCTGCATTGAGAAAAGCAAAAAGTTTTACTTTCATTCTTCATGTCCAGTTCATAAAAGGTCCAGCTGTTATAGACAAACATGACTGGAATACATGCATGTACATATCATGATAATTACATGAATTTGTGAAGCGATAACTCTTAAGAATACAAATCTTGTGCAGAAGTGTTGTTTTATAAAGTCGTTGGTCTATGAATACTTCTGGTTTCAAGTAATTTTTGAAAGCTGGTCACAACTTCCAAAAGAAACAAACAAGAAAACCTCAAACATTTTCAAGCAATGGCAAAATTGAATAGCTGACATGCTATGACTGCTGACCTGTGACCCATGACCTATACTCCACATACACTCACCCTCAAGTATTTGTCTAGTGAACCGTTTTCCATGAATTCCGTCACAATCATGGCCGGTCTCGTCTTGGTGACCACACCCAGGAGTTTGATGACGTTGGGATGGTCAAACTGGCCCATGATGGAGGCCTCCGACAGGAAGTCCGAGCGGTCCTTGTCCGTTGCGCCCGTCTTGAGGGTCTTGACGGCCACCTTGATGGTCGTCTTGTCCGGCATAAGCATCAGTCCACTGCACACGTCTCCGAATTCGCCTGGATTTCACAACAACAACAAAAATGTGATATAATGGGTGTATAGTGTACGTTTGTTTCAACTTATCTTATGGGCAATTCATGGGATTACCTTGAGTCGTCATATTGAAACAAAAATCTACACACAACTTAAAGAGAAATGTAGAGAGAGATAGCATAACTTAATAGAGAGAGAGAGAGAGAGAGAGAGAGAGAGGCAAACGGAGGAAGAGAAAGATGGAAAGAGAGAACAGGTAAGAAAGAGCAAAGAGACAGACAGAGAAAGAGAGAGAGATGGAGAGAGACAGAGAGGGAGGGATAAAGATGGAAAGAGAGAAATTGATATAAACAGAAAGAGTAAGAGACACATACAGAGAGAGAGAGAGAGAGAGAGACAGAGAGAAAGAGAGACCTAATTGAGCAGGGTTTATATACATCTTCATTAAATAAAAAAAGAATAATAAAAAAAAACCTAAACAAATTTGAGGTGGTCACACACGCGCATGACTTCATCTATTGACACATTTGTCAGCCAAATAATGACACCTTCCACTGAGAAGCCATTCATAACATGACAAAAATCAATATGGAAATTGCTCCAAAATTGAAATTTCTCCCATTCCCCCATGCTGCCATCAATTTAACTCAATTTATCTCCATTTTGGCCTGCGTTCAGGCAGATGAGTCAGCACAGGGGTCTGACACCCTCTCCCTGATTTATTATCTTAGCCTCTAAAGATTTATTGTAGACTATACCAGCTCATTTTCATTCTCACAAGTTTCTATCAATCCAGAAGCTTCAACAAATGAACTTTATGATGGGCTACTACTACTGCTATATGGTATTAACTTTGTTATGATTTATCATTTAGTCTGTTCATGGCTGGAAGGTCAGAAACTCTGTGTTTAAGTATATGAATTGACACCTTTTTGGCTCTAAACAGACGTTTTCATTACAATGTATGAATTATGTCAACCTCTTTATGAATTTAATACACCAACTTTGTGCCACTAAACATCATGATCCAGGATTTATTTAAATCGGCCAAATTATTCAAACAAGAAGGTTCTAAAAAGATGTGTAACCATTTCAAATTACTGATGTATCTAAGTAAGATATTAACATATGCCTGTGAGACCCCCCCCCCCCCCCCGAAAAAAAAGCCCCTTTCATATAAAAATACAGTCAAACCTGCTTTAGTGACCATCTGTCTATAAAGACCACATGTTTTGTTTCCCTTGAAAAATTGTTTCTCATTGAAACATGTACTAAAGGAACCCGTCTACAAAGACCACTTTTTGTGTTTCCCATGGGTGGCCGCTATAGACATGTTTGACTGTAGTAAGAAAGACAAATATGACATTTTTTACGCTAACTGCCCTCTATCATCAAATCTGATGCCCCTTGCGTTGACCTTATTCACAGCCCAGCCAGCCCGATGTGTGAAAGTTTGTGAGTAATAGAATAACAATATTTCATGTACAGCATCCCCAGGATGAGTAATATGAATTATCTTCTTATCAAAGCATGCTGAGATCTTTCCTTCACACCCTTAAGGCAGTCATAAATTGAGTCAAAATTCAGCGCATCTCAATCGCAGTATCCCTAAAACTAGGGAGGGGGCAAACTCAGGTTAAAATATCCTCCACTTTATCACACATAATGGATGATTCTTTGAACTTTCAGGGACTAAATATACATTTTGTTTGACACTGACATCTAAGATTATAATCTGGAGACATTTTGTTTGTGCTATGACCGACCTTTAACCTAATGAGGATGAGGATACTTGAATGAATTTACCAATGCTTTACTTTTCCTTTTTCAAATCAGCAAAACAGCTATTTCACTATTCAAGCAAAAAGTTGTATGCCTGAAATGAATATACATAAAACAAAATAGGGGAACAAATGCCTGAGAAAGAAGACAAATATTATGCTATGAGCCATTCAAATTCAACGATTTTAGAAGATTATATCAATTATTGGATGAACTTCTTTCATCCTCTGTTTCGAGCTGGAAGCATGTACAGTCACATATTCTAAAACAGAGTTATAACACCCTTCTGGCTTTTTGATACCAAGTTTCATGAAACAGTGCCATTAAAGAAATGTCTTCCTTACCTCCACCGATGACTTCAAGGATCCGGATCTGCGTGGCGTCGATCTCGGTGGCGAACTCTTTGACGGCCTGGTTGGGGTCCTCATAGGTGAAGGGGTCCACGTAGGTCTTGACCTTCTTGATGTGGGGCAGGATAACTGTAGAGTGACCAAAGGTGATTGCTGGTGATCGTAATCGAAGTCGAGGAGGACGAGGAGGAGGAGGACGATGTCGAGTGCGATGAGGGATGCATGATTGGTGGTGAGAGTGATGGTGGAGCACGGCATGGTGATGATAAGGAGGAGGAATGGTGATAGGGGTGACGGAGAGAGAGGGTAGATGAGAACGAAGGATTTTAGTAGCGAGGATGAAGTTATAACGGCAACGATGATGGAGATGAGAATGATTGTGGTGATGATGAAGATGAGTTGAGACAGAAATGTTAGTTACACAGCATTTAACACAAGATAAGAAGATATAGAGTTTGTAGTGAACAGAAGCATGAATCGAGGAAGAATTCGGAGGACAAGGAGGACAAGGAGGATGAGGAGTCAAAGAAGAAAAAGAAGGAGAAGGAAAGAAAGAAGAAAGGAAGATGAAGAAGGAGGAGGAAAGGGAATACGAGAGAGAGAGAGAGAGAGAGAGAGAGAGAGAGAGAGAGAGGATGATGTCATGATGACGATATAGAGTCCATTCAAAGATGGAGAAAGAGAAAAAATAGTAAAAGCAAATGTCGAACAAAGTTACATCGGGTTAAAAGGAAAGCAATGATGATTTGGTATGCGATGATGGGGGAAATTGTGAAGGGGAACAGAATGGAGAGATGGAGATGGAGGGAAAGAGAGAGAGAGAGAGAGAGAGAGAGAGAGAGAGAGAGAGAGAGAGAGTGATATATTAGTATTTCAAAACTTTCTAAGCAGGACTGCAAATTGTTAATCAAGCTTGTTTTGTACGATCAAAGGTGCTAACGCTTTGTGCGGATGTCTTCTTTTCTTTTCTTTTTACATTCTCAAAGTTAGTTGGGTATATTAAGCCATGAAGCTATGAAATTTCATAAAATGCTACTTGTGCAGCAACTGGTTTTAGCATCAAAAATTAAAATTACATGTACTCTAAAAAGACCCACACTTTATTAATTCCTTAGAAACCTTTTTTAAATACCTAAAAGAAAATCAGTTTCTTGTTGAAAAGTAAAAATTTCTAGATATGAATACCACCAAGCATGTGATAAATTGATGTGGGATTAGTATGGGATGTATATGACATTATACTGATATTCTTTCTCATTACTAAGAATTAAGTGATAAATCAACATTGACAGTTTCGGATATATATTTTGATTTGTTGACAGTTTACTCATCTTCTAAAAGGCTAATGAGGTATTAACTAATAGTTTGGTCCACAAACTATCAATCATTTGTTGTTCTACTTAACTGCACAAAAAGTTGACATAATTTGTTAATATAAAAGCAATATAAAGTCCCCAAGTTATTCAAGGCATATATGTTTTTGTATTTAAATGTAGGACATGGATTTATTTAAATGGTAATTAAAAATATAATTTCCCTGCCTCGAGTTTCAAAAATAAAGTACTTGTCGATCAAATATTTATAAGAAATTCACTCTAGTGAAAAGTGCAATAAAACGAGTCACACAACCTTAAAAATATGAACCTCTGAAAATATTGTTCAATATACCAAGAGAGAAGACTGGTGAAATAAAACCATTTGGATATCATTTAATCGTTTTATATACTGTATAGTGTCTATTCCCAAAGTATCATAAGCAATATGGTGTTTTTAACAAAACCTCACTCATGAATATCAATATTTTCTGGAAATATATTCACACATGCTTTCACATCACACAAAATACACAAAAACCTCACTCAGAATAAAGCCTTGTTCACATACGACCTGGAAAACCACTTGTGCCAAAACCTGAAAACCTGATGTGCCAAAATAAAAGGGCATAGGCGTAGCACACTTCATATTTCTGTACCTTGTAATACTCTGAGAGGTATACATATATATATGTAAGGCCACTGTTGTTTGCAGCTACATTTTTCTCACTCTCTTGGTTTTTTTCTTTTTTATTCATTATGTTTTTATTAAATAACGTTTTTAGGTGAGCATATGTGAACAAGGCTCACGAGTGACTCTATCGTCCTTTTGATATTTACCTTCACCATTAGTGCCGTTGGCATATATGAGGTGGCCATTTTCTGAGGGAGGTACTTCCTTTTTCCTGTTAGGAGAAGGTAGGAGAGAAAAGAAACATTATAAATCTGAAATACAAGACTGATTAATATTTGTGAGATTTTAGGTTCCTCTTGGAGAAAAAAACATTGTTCATTTCTTAGAATATAAGTATTTACCCTCTGAATGTCATCCCAATCTGTCATCGAATTACTTCATTACATTATCTACCGGTATTCAAAAGCACATGAAACATTGTCTGTTAAGACACAAAAGGGCATTAACTTGTATACTTGAGCACAGAGTTAATGCCATTCTGGCTCTGAACAAGACAATATATTTTCTCCAAACAGATAATATATAAATATATAACTTTAAAGCAGTTTATATCAGATACAAAATGCAAGGTAAGAGTTGAGAACAGTCATTTATAAAAAGTTGCCATGTTTCATACTTGTTCTAGCGGTTTGAAGTGTTCCTGCTACGTCTTATCATGAGTCTTGGAAGAGAGAGGGAATATTATCCAAAGCCTACGGGGCAATTTAGCCGTCTTTCCAAGACCGATTTAGCATAAAATGCTCATTTGGAGGCTTTTAAAAGATGGGAATTTCATGGAAAACAGCCTGCCCTTGGTTGCTAAATGGCTGACAAGAAGGCTGTTTAGAGCCATTTTTGGATGTTGTTTGATGTTTGATGGAGTGCTTGTAGCTAAAGCAGTTATGCATCCTTCAGGCATTAGAGCCAATATGGCACATATGAGTAAGTTTAGGAGGGAGAGAGGGAGAGGGAGAGGGAGAGGGAGAGGGAGAGGGAGAGAGAGAGAGAGAGAGAGAGAGAGGGACATAAAGTGGGAATGGAGGGAGAGGAGAGGAAAAAAGGGTAACAGGAAAGAAAGAGAAAAGAAAAAGAGGGAGAGGGGGAGAGAGAGGGAGAGGGGGAGAGAGAGAGAGAAAGAGAGAGAGAGGGGGTGGGGATAGTCAGTGAGGAAAAAGAAAGAGGGAAAGATACAGAAATACAAAGAGTGAGGGGAAAGGGAAAGAGGGAGGAAGGAAAGAGAAATAGAAAGACAGAGAGACAAGGGGAGAGAGGATAGGAGGGAAAAGAGAGGAAAACCTGATGGGCTATAAAGGTAGAGAGAATAACAGCGATAAACTACATACTTTAATGCATTCCACCTCCTCTTTCTCTCAAATTTACCTGAATTGTTTAGGCTAAATCTTCTCTTTTAAAGTTGATTCATTACAAATATGGGAAGTGATGATGATAACAAATAATATGGCTTTGTGAATAATATACACTGCACCAAAATGTTTTGTTCAACATTTTTTAAAAGAGGAAAAATCAACGTATCCTTTCACAGATCTGTACGAAATAACACTGCCAGAACTTTGATAAACTTGAATTTACAACTAAAATGATTTCCTCTTTGCTTCATGACCTTGATGAATACTGCCAGCGTATGTCGATTTTGAAAAAAAATTGGCAAATGAACTAGCGAGAAAGAATTTTCAAGGCAGGAGAGGCAAGACCCAATCATCTTGCGAGAAGGGAAATATACGTAATATCGAGAAGTGAAGTGGTAAATTCTCCGCCAAGATTGAATCAGGGAATAATACATTTTTGAGGAGAGAGAAAATGCTACAGGATAAACAAGCTGACTGTGGGTGGGATATATCGAATACATACTAGAGGATATGGATTAGACCGAGACATTATGAGGAGAGGAAAAACTGATGGCAATAAATGACAAATTCCATGACAAGTTAGTGCATCTGTAACCTTTACTGAAATTTGAAGTGAAAATTCAACACCATGAATGTTTTCTTGTTGTTTTTGTCTATAAAGATTCCTTCGATATTGGAACTGTTCTCTTGCAGAACCATAAAAGATATCTTTACCTTACCTAATTGGAATGCTTAAAGGAAATCATGGGAAGCAAATTAGAATATAAATAATCATATTTTGAACAATTTAGAGTGCGCTTTTGTGGTATTTTGCGAAAATTTGGCTCTACAAAAGTGAAGAAAAGATTCAACGTTTATCTGCTCAACGAGAACAGCTAGCTTGTACCCAACACTGGTTACTGTGCCAAAATACCATATTGTTTGTGAAGAGCCGGAAGGGTGTTAACTCAATTAACACAGAGTCAATGCCCTTCTGGCTCTCAAAATACAATAAACAATAACACAACGGTTTACAGGAAACATGTTTATCAAATCTAAGTGCCCCTGATATTTAAAAGGTGAAAATAATCTAAAACTAGAACAAAAGAAATCGGAAGTACTAACAATTTGATTTCTAAGATAATTTACTTTTCTAGCAACACAAAACCATTGTGCATCGCTACTCTTGATTTTAACACAACTTATTTTCAAACAGATCTGTCTAGGCATGCAATACATTTCTTCTATTTCTGACATAAACTTTGCTTTTGATGACATTTTTGCAATATCTCAGAACAAAAATAAGCGATATTAATGATTTGTTTTCGGTTCGTTTTCGGTTCTCAGAAATCGAGACACATTTCTGTTAAAGTAATCATTCATTGTAATGCAATAAAAGAATTATCTACATATCAGATGAAAAAAAAATAATTTCCCTGTATGCAAAACCATTGTAACAATTAGTGAAAATGCAAGAGATGAAAAACAAAGAATCTAATCGTTTCATGGTAAAAAAATGGAATGGAGAAATAACTAATGGTAAAACAATTGTAAGTGAGTCCTTTGTGAAAGGTAAACAAAATTGTGACATGGAAATGTTTGCTTTAAGATCTAATAAATGCCTACTAAAGAAATACAATCAAGTAAGAAAGATGAATCTTGGAAAAATGCAGTTCTACGGTCTAGCATAGATGAAATAAAATCACAAAATGAGCAGTGGATATCTATTTTGTTATAAATGAAGAAATGATTTCCCAAAGTATTTGCCCAATAATTGGTGATAGTACATGTCATTCTAAAACAATTTAAAAACTACATCTTCTACAAACAAAAATGTACGAAACTTTCATGACAAAACATTTTGCATAATTTGATATAAACAGGATTTTCCCACTCTTAACAAGCTTCTATAGACCAAGAAATTGTTTGAATTATGAAATATTGTTGCATTTTATTTTAGAATTATTTTGAAACATGGCCAAACCTATAGTGTATCAGAATACGTTAGAAGACAGTTTGTCCTTTAAAAAGATGAAATGTCAAATGTCATCTTTCAACTATACTCAAACACTTTCTCAAGGTTCATAGAAAACAGTTACATATAAATGTTTCAGATACATGTATTATATCACAGGAAGTTCACATTTGGTATAAAAATTGACTGTTATTGACATTGTTGATCTTTTTATCAAAACAAATTATTACTTTGGTGCTATGTCAGAAGAAACCTTGGAACTTACTGAATTTACATACTCCAAAGAAAGAAAAGAGGGGGTAGAAAAGAATATTGCCATTCATTTTCTCACCTTATATAACAATAATGATTTTATTTAAAATTGGTAATACCACTATAATCAAAAGAGCCGTTACAAAAAGTATTCCTTTGATTAATTTTTTTCTTCATAAAGTACAAATGTGAACTTCCCTGTTAGAGGATGCAAAAGCTGTTGAGGGAAAGATTAAACAAATGTTACAAATCAATTGTGGTCCATCTAACATGAGGGGCACAACATCATTGATAAGGGAACTCTATATGGTATATATATGATACTATAAAACCAAAGGGATGGGGGAGGGGGTCACAGATGACTTTGGGGTGGGGTTACAGGTTAATTCAGGTGAAATTAGTCATTTTGATGGTTGTATACGTCATCAAACGGGTAAATGTATGAGTAATGTGCATGTGATTTGTGTGTGTTACAGAAAGTAAACAAAACAAGAAACATAAACACAGGTGGAGAATGATAGGGCGACATAAAGCAGTGAGGAAGAACAAAAACAACATGCAACTTTGACATTGAAACAACTGATCGGGATAAGTAGGCTGCAAGGCAAAGCAAAACAAAAAATGGAATAAATAATAGAAATAAAAGCGGATAAAGTATTTAATGTAAATCATGTGATTCGAATGACATCCTATATAATAAAGCTCCCAACATAAAAAGTTGTTCAAAAATATTTAAGCAAGACCTAAGATTTGAAGAAGATAACATGAATCTAGACAGAGTTGGTGAAATCTATTTGTCCATAAAGGCACATAAATACAATTGTTTTTTCAGGTAACTTTTGGCATTCAAGAGTAAATATAGATGAAGATTTTAAATGCCAGCAGTTTCAAAGAGAAGGTGACGAGCTTAGAGATAACAATTGCATGATGAGAGAAATTTATGATTGCAGAAAGAGTATAGTTTCAAATAAGGATTTGTGAAATAAAATTCAGTAAATTTACAAACGAGAGACAAAACTATTACAAAGGCTCAAAGAGAATTTACTTTGTGACTTCAATGGATTACTTATAATATGTTGCTTCTTCACATTAAATATTTTTTAGAAGAGATACTTTGCTTATACAAGATGTCACAGAAGATCACAGGATTTACACCAAAAAAGCGAGAGAATATAGGTAAAATATGAAGGATTTTTATCGATCATGGAAAAAGAAGAGAAAAAAAATCTTCTCTCGTTACCTAGGAGGTAGAGTAGAGATCTGATAGTACAATTGCTGCTTGGCCTTCCATCTGAGGGAGGAGAGTTAATAAGTGGAAGGGACAGAAACAAGTAATCACAAATCAGTTCACAGTGAGTACATTAGTCAAACTCACTCCCTCTGGCAGTATAGTGACAAACCGCTGTGGTGTACTTGGTGATGGTGGTGGTGTATGGTGGAGGCAAAGAGCAAATGATAATGGAATTTGGTTGTCGTTTTTTTGTGCATTGTGCAACAGGTGGCGGTATCGGTCGGTTATTTCAGTGATTTCACACCATTAATATGCAACAAACATTAGTCAGGAGAGTGCCCTGTGCAAAATGCATTATACTGTCAGCTTGAGATCAGACAAGGATAACATAATACTCTCCCAGTTTACAGAACAATTATAACTACTAATTCAAAATCATTTCAGTCCTAAAACTATTATAATTGCTTTCAAATTCGAAACAACTTGAAGCAGATTTCTAAAACCAGTTCTCTATGTTAAGATCTACCTAAGATTTCAACAAATCTGATACTGTTAAAAAATTATTTCCTTGCAAACCTCTGAAAAACAGAGGCTGCAGAACTTGCTTCACTAGAAGCTTATCTCATTAAGCAAAGAGCTATCTATATGAACTAAGCTTCTTCCATTGTATCACTTTAATTTGATTTTTATTGCTTATTTTCAGTTCATTTTACAAAATTTGTATTTAGCTACACAGGTCCTCAGAGTGTTAGTTAGAGAGGCTGTTAAAATGTTGTTTAGTTACAAAGCAAGCTTGCCATTAGATACAATGTTAAATGACTTAAAGGACTGACTAAACATATTTTGGTCATCCTGACTTGTAACATGGTTTTACGACCATTTTCTTACAAATGAAGAAATAGTATTAGACAGTTCGCACCACCACCACACAAAGTACAACAGTTACCACAATATAGGTCATATTGTTACTCGTTATGTGTTATAAGCTTTTACGAAACATGCAAACAAACTCGATCTATGTTTTTTTTTGGTTAATTGTTAGCTATCTGCACGTGCATACATGCCATGCCTGAAATTAACCCCAAAATGCTTATTAACTCAAATATAATATCATTCAACACAAAACATGCTGTTAATTCTGAAAAATCATGCAATTTTATGGCAAGATCATATCATGCTTTCAACCTTGCCATGTACTTTAAAGTTAGTCCACAATGCCATGCGATTCATTCCGTTTTCATCTCAAACAGACACAAAACAATACAAGTAAAGCGCATGCATTCCACACACCTTCATACATGACAAGACAAACAAGAACAAGAGGACACAAGAAGACTGTTTCACAGAAAGAACGATAGAAGACTTCTTTCACAGACAACAGTAAATAGTAATGGTGGATGGGGGAGGGAGTTTCATTATATCATAATGCTTTTCATTGTTACTCATGAATATATGCATTGTTGTGATGGTAATATATGATTGCTGTGATGAGTGGGGTGATAGGTTTCGTGACTGTAGAGGGCGGTAGAAGCTTTTAGGAGGTGTGGTGAATCCTCCGAAAGCTTGGTGAAAAATGATGGCGAGAGAAATAACGTCTCTCCCCCCAAAATGACACAAACTCGAGACTACATCTACAAGTGATATAGTGTACACTATAAACCTATGTCTACGTAATATTACTGCGATCTATCTTATAGTTAAAATTTAGTTAGAAGAACAACTGGAATAAAGATATTTAGTGAAAAAAGATGATTTACAAACACTTTTCTACTTTAAATAAATGTCAGATGAATCTCAAATCTGTACTTTTAAAGAATTCATAATGGAGCCAAAAGAAGTTTCATGCTTTAAATCTAGAAGTTTAAAGTAGAAAATAGTATAATTTTGATTGTCTAAGGATAGAAAACCCTTCACCAAAATGAAATCTCGTCCTTAGTTTTCCGAAATAGAATTAGACAGTGGTGAAACGAAAATAAATAAAAAAATAAAGCACAGAAAAAAGCTGAAATAAAAGAAGTGAGCTCATACTTGAAATGAAAGAAAAGGTTTTACTGTTAACTTGTAAAAGGTTAACTTGTAAAAGGTCAAATTATAGGAACATTAATAGACAGTGTCATGAGGTCTTAGCAGCCACCATTATGCATTTGGGGGGTTAAATGAAATCATAATCAGAGGGGCATGGGTTGTGACATTATTTCTTATGTTCACACTAGGCGTGAGCTGCCTTTGAAAGTCTGATAACGATCGTTATTTACCGAGCTTTGGAGGCGTCGGGGCCTGTTTGAGACATGCCCTTTCTCAACTGTTTCAGGGATTTTCTGGGGTAATGGAAAGAGAGACACATAGACAATACACATCAGAGACTCCACACCAAGAAGAAATATCGCCATGCACTTATACGGCAGAGTCCTTTTACACTGTATGAAATTAATTCAATTCTGATCAAAAGACACATTTTGATAAATTTACCCCTTTTGGTCCAATTACATTTTCTTACAGGTCATGCAAATATCACTGTATCATGAAAATATTTTTGTTTTAATTATATATAGACAAATCTTATTTAGTATCTTCAAAATTATTTCAAAACATAAAACCAATATGAATTTTGAAAACTTATTGAATGTATCTTCTACAAATTTAAATTATTGAATGGTTTTTCTGTTTTGTTGGGGTTTTGAATTCTCTGCCTGCCTTGAAACAGAAATGAGTAAAACTTAATAATACTTCCACAATATTTTGAAATAATAACTAACAATTCTAGCTCCTACTTTACGAGATATATACATGCAGAAGCACATGAACATTTTGACATGCACATATAAACCAAAAATTACATTTAACCAAATAATAATTCAACATTGAATAAATTATAAGAACATGCAATTTAGAAGCAACTGCCCCAACCACGGAAACATAAAAAGATCAATAAATATGTAGATATATTTTTTTGTTTAATTTCTAGGACTTAAAGAGGACATTGAATTATACTTTGATACCAATCTAATCAAATTCTTTTTCTGTGAAGTAGCAAACATTGTGGATATTTTGTTCAATCCTTTATACGAAGAAATGTTATTGTTGCATATTATGTGATAAATTATCAATATCCATACTCCTTTGGCTTTTGGTTTGGTCATACAATTTATAGACTGCAGTTTTTTTAACTATTCCATTAGGGCTTTGCAACAACAAAAATTCCATTCCTTTGTGATAGGACATTGTTTGTTTTTTGTGACAGACATAGAGGTATAATAGTTGAAGGTATTAGTAAAGGTTTGTGATGAATGACAGTGCATTTTTTTTATCTTGTGGAAAGGGGGAGCTGGGTTGCTTTAGTTTGGTTAATGTGATATGAACTTGAATTACAAGGGAGGGGGTTTGTTAGTGCATGAGGACCTTCGGCAAGACCTTCCCTTGCTAATCATTAACACATCCTTACATGAACACACCCCCCTTTTAAACCCTTTGCTTTTAAATAATTCAAAGAGAAATAGTCTTTAACATCGAATTTCAGCCCTGAACATATACTGCATGCTTAACTTCCACTCAAAATGCAATGAAAAAGACAAAATTTCATGCTTTTGAAATAAAGTAACTCAAAATCATTTCTCGTCTCATTAGAATATTTCTTCAACGCCAGACTCGTAGCAATAAAAGCAAAATAATATTCCAGCATTGACAAATATGCGACACACAGATTAAATTAAAAATATTCAGAATCAAAATGAGCTTTGTCCCGATGCTTTTTCGATAATCAAGGCTACAAAGAAAGAAATATTATAATTCAAAGTTTCAAACCATAAACTCTCTGAAATGCAGTGTAAATGTTACATAACCCTCATTAATATTGCAACACCATTCTTGTTACATGTTCTTCAGCTAGAGAAAAGGGTAAGTTTTGTTGTTTTTCTTCACTGCAAACTAGTATTAGGGAGACACAAATTTTTCGAGGGGTCCTTTAGTAAAACTCTGGGAGAGAAAGTGTACAAAAAATGAACTGCGCAGCCCACAGCAATGCAGTTATTGAGAAAATAAGTAAGATCTGCTGACAACCAAACCCTAACAAGGAGGGAACCGAAAATGAATTTCACACAGACACACTACGGAGGAAAGAAAGTTGTCTTTTTGTTTTCCTTTGTCAACTTCCCGCCCACTTTCAAACATTACTACATCATCATGGACTAGGACTAACTCGGTACCTATTTAGGGGAACAAAGAATCTTCTAGTCATTTATATACAGTAACATTTCACTGCATCGGATAAAACCTCGACTGTTGTAGAACAAGGGGACCTGTACATTTCATTTGGTAGTGGGGTCAAATTGGTGTCAGGCCAAAGGTTAAAGGTCGTGAAAAGGGTTACATACCTTCTCCAGAAGACGAGGAAGATGACCACGGCTACCAAGACAACAATGATGAAGATGGCCGACACCGCGGCCGCTAGAATAACAGTTGGCACAGACTGACCCCCAGAACCTGCAAAGGTCAAATATTCATGAAGAAGATATTTTGAATGTTTCACAAGACATCTAAATGTACATAAAAACGTTCTTTAAAAAAAAATATATATTCCTTTTTCTTCATGTTCTAATTTCATCCAGTTCGCAGTGACTATAGGCACATATCTTTAACTTTTGTATCAAAAGAAACATCCTGAACCTGTAAACCAGTCCACTATACTCATATTATCTGGTGCAACTCTGATGACTGTAATAATTATGAAGTAGCTAATGCCCCATTCACATTGAAAACACCATCATGAACCAATAACAATGATGACTGTACTCTTAAATATGAAATAGAAGCTTATAGCCTGTTCACTGTGATCCAACATTTGCTATAGATATAGGCTAATTAGGCTTAGGGTTAGGGTTATGGCCAGGTACAGTGTTTGATCCAGGGTCAAAGTTCAAAATTTGGTTCATCAAGGATATTGACCGGGGAGAAATTATAACAGATACGTGTTTCAAACAGCTAATGAACCCTGTTCACACATTAAAGGAAAACCAATGGGCATGTGGACTCACCTGATGAAGTAGCTAATACTTGTTGGCTATAGGCACCTACCCCACTCGCAGTATTGGCTGCAACCTACAAAAAGAAAACCATGAGAAATTACATGTTGTATCAATCATCCTAGAAAGAAAAAATAACTGGGAATCCCCAAAATACATTTTTCTTTTTAAAAATGAATATTTCCCCACTAGACGAATCTGTAAATTTGTGTCATTTATTTCTTTTCACAAAACTTTTCAGGTTATACAGCCCAACTTTTATTTTTTCAAAGTGAAGGAATAAGAGACAAGAGAGGTAGATACAGTAACATGAAGATATAGGGAGGCAGAGGCACAAAGAGATAGAGAGATAGAGAGAGAGATAGAGAGATAGAGAGATAGAGAGATAGAGAGATAGAGAGATAGAGAGAGAGAGAGAGAGAGAGAGAGAGAGAGAGAGAGAGAAAGACCTAAGAACATTTACAAGAGACCAGAAAAATAAAGTATATAATGAAATTGAGAGAACTGAAAGAGAAAAGAAAATAAAGAAACTAAATAGAATATGTTCAAATTAAAAACAAATATTGAAACTAGAAAGGAATTAAACCACAGAGCAAATAAAAATAACTAACTTACAAAAACATATAGAGCCTGTTTCATTATTTTAAGCAAGACTCAATATTGTGATTGAAATTCAAGCAACACAATCTAGTAGCTCCTCGTTGATTGTGGTTATTCTGATCATATATTTAGATTCAGATCTCTTTCTGTCTCTCTCTCTCTCTCAAGCAAACAAGTCAATATAAACCAGTGCACGGCACACAGAAACATGATCTTGGAAATGGATTTTTCTGAAATAATTGAAGATATAATGTCCAAACAATTGATTTTATTTTGAATAATTGAGTGGTGTATGTTTCCAGACGCACCGATTGCATACGGTTGCGTAGAATAAATTGTTCTTGGAAACTGTTTCAATCAAGAAAAAAGGTCTCTGCATCTGTTATTACATTCATATTCCCTTTTCGAACAAAAATGCTCTGTAATTCATCGATAAAAGCTAAAAACAAACTCCTGAAATAGAGAATTTCACTTGAACTAACAGCAAACGTATTTGAAAAAAATATTAATGAGCGGTATAAGCCGACATGATGAGTTGACTTTGTGCGTCAGTAGCAAGTATAATACTGCTGCTATCGGTATAACCACTATGCACTCCCATTATTTTGCGACTTTGAAATGTCAAATCGGCAATATGGATATAAAGGAGAGAAGCTTTTGTCAATAATAAAACTCCTCTGACCTTTACTGAGTCTATGTCTGCTAAGATCACGATACAAAAGAGTGGAGAATGGTGGGTGTTTTGAGCGAAGATGTTGAGAATATATGCGGGTTTAAGATAATGGGTCATAAAAATGTATATCTGATATTTGAATGATGTATACCGGTACAAATATTGTTTTGATGTTGGTTGTATAAGATGTAAATGTGATTTAAGTTCTGGTTATACAAAACTGCCCATTGGGGCAAAGATATGCAGGGGAGGGGGGGGGGGGAATATCATAAGTCTAAAAAAAAAACTGTGGGCACTTAATTTTGTGATGCATAGGGGGTGATAAAACAATATGCAATAAAATAAAGTCTTCCTCCTATTTTAGTCAAGGAGATTGGTAGTTCCATGATATTCATCTTTACAACATTAGTTAGATTCAAATTTTTTCATCTTTTACAGGCCTTGGCAGTGAAGAAAAAGAAATAGTCAGAACATTCACAATGGCTTTTAAATTGGCAGGACTTACCTCAAAGACATACTCTGTTCCTGGCACCAACCCATGGACAGTCGTCTCCTGCACCTCACCGTCAAGGACAGCCTGGTAGTGGTACTTGACGTTCTCCTGCGTCTCTGCGCTCGTACGGTAGATCACCTGGTAGTTGGTGATCTCGCCGTTGGGGAAGAGCGGCTGGCGCCATCTCAGTTTGATGGACTCGTCGTTGACGTCGTCCTCCACCACCTTGAGGTCTCGCACAGCAGAAGGCACTGAGGAAATGAAGAGAAATAGTTCAAGTTGAATGCATGTTGAAAGGATTAGAATGCATGTTGAATGGACTTGAATGCATATTGAATACATATTGAATACATATTGATGGACTTATCGTTGATGTCGTCTTATACCACCTTGAGGTCTCGCACAGCAGAAGGCACTGAGGAACGGATAGAAAGAGTTCTAGTTGAATGCATGTTGAATGGACTTGAATGCATGTTGAATATAGACTTGAATGCATGTTAAATGTAGACTTGAATGCATGTTAAATGCATTTTGAATACAAGTTGAATACAAATTGAATACAAATTGAATACAAAACTGAATGAAAATTAAGCACAGTTTGAATGAAAATTGAATACAGACTGAAATGAATTTGTACACAAATTGAATATAAGTTCTCTTGCAAGTTCCAGTCCAGCATGGAATCTTCTATAAACTCTTTACCTGTCTTGGTCAACCAATCAAACAACATTGGACTACCACAGTTGAACTTTGTCACACATACAGTGTACAGCGAACAAAAAACAAAATAACTTCTATTGATGTCTCAGTTCAAAAACTTGTATATTTTGTTAGATGAAGGAATAAAGAAGCAAGTCATTAGCAATTTAAGGAGAAGGGACGAGTTGTCAGCTTGTGCATATCAATTATCAAATTTCATGATACAGGCAGTACTATTAATCAAATCAGACTTGATTTCAATTATACTTTCACATGAATCATATTTGCTGAGAGTATGTACAGATTTTTTGTCAGGTTTTGACATGTGTTACAAGAGAGTTGATAAGCTAATCATAATTGCATTTGTCATAATTGCAAACATAAGATGACACATTTTATATCGTCAAAAGATGTGGGAGAAAATATGCCCTAACCAAATGAAATACTGCAAAGACCAGTATTGAGGGATCTGATTCCAAATTCCTGATGCTCGAGATAAAGAAGCATTTACTCCGTCAAATTCAGGCTTGAGACTTTCTTTGCCAAAACATCAATTATTGGCGAATTTACTTCTCAATCGACACGTCTGTCCTCGACCACGGTCGTTAGACTCGGTTCGTTTCTCAATCCCAGGTTTAGTTACCAAATGTAGAAATGCACGTGTAAGATTGCTGTCTTTTATTAGATGACATACGACTCGGCGGCGTCCCATATTCAATAACAAATGCTGGATGGAGTCCAGAAAAACACCAACACCAAAAAAAGGGTGACTTACAATATAGTGTAAGTGGTCTTGAAAAACAATGACAAGAAGGAATATAGCATTGATACTGTTCAAAGAATTAAAAAGAACTCCAAGCTTTAATTGGATTCTGATTTTATCTTAAAGATTGATTACCGGTATTGCTTTCTTTACTTTGCTGTGGATAAATCAGTCATTATGATTTTTGTTTTCAATTATCATATTATCACCGATATAATGATAGCTAAAAACTTGTTGTGATGAGTACCTTCTCTCGTCTTATATTTGATCCTGTGTTTCCTTCTTTCAAGAAAATATCAATTTTAAACTTCATTTTAAACTTGAGATCTTTCTTGACTTCAACGAAACTGATTTTGCTTCTTCGAGAAAAGATGGCTAACTCTGTATTTGATAACTGAATTGATGTATCATAATTGTATTCAAACCATGGCTCAGGCTGTGGCATTTATAAGTCACAATATTAAAATAAAAAGAATCCTCACTGACATGTCCCAATAACTAGTTCCCACACAGTTGAAAATGATATCATGATATCATCGGTAGGAATCCAAGTATTTTCCATTTCCGTCAATAATAGCTGACCCGAAACAAAGCACGGCACATCTGGGTTTAATAAAAAGGATCCCTCAGGTTCTGACCCTCATGTGTATGTCATATAGAAGCTGGGCATAAAGCTGATCCTGGTGGTTATCAGTGGTGGAATGAAACCAGAAAAACACATCCAAAATGCCCTTGGAATAACAACCGTCCTCATAATTCTTGCTTGATTGAGTCGTTGACGCCAATAATCAAACATAAAAACTTGCTGTGAAACAAGTTCATGTGGGGAGAGAGGAGAAGGAGAAGCAAGAAAGATGCACATTTTCAATGAAAGGACGAGACTGAAAATGCAAGTTGCGAAGAATCACAAGAAATTTCTGTGTTTTCTTTTCTTTCTTGATAATTCAGAACTGGTGTATTCATATAAAAATATATAAATAAAGACTATTGATCTACTATATAAGTAAGGAGCAATAATTATATTTATTTTTTCTCTTCTCTCTTTTACTTTTTTTTTCTTCAGAGGGACAAGAACCTGCCATTTCCATGAACTGATTTAAATGAGATCTTGTTTTTAAAAAGTTGTTGAATTCACTGATATCAGCCTTCATGTACTCAGGCCTATTTCCTGTACCTTGATATAATCCTTGGGATAGCAAAAGTATGTCACATCCTGTATTTCATTTCAATTTCCCAAATGAGTATGATACAGTCTGTACAGAGCCAAAAGGGCGTTAACTCTATTTTAACTATTACTCTTTTCACACTGGTTTTGCTTAACCCCGTACTTTGCTTAGACCCGTACTATCCTTAACCCCAGACTATTTTTTTGGCTTTTCACACTCGCTGTTTTTAGTCCCATACTACCGCCTATTCCGGAATAAGAAAATTCCCGCTGTTCTCACTGCATTTCGTTAACCCCGGATATCGTGTATGTTATGATAGGACATACTTCGCATCTGGCCAGCTGCGATACGCTCCATTGCGTAGTACCGGACTATTTTTCGTTTCTGTTCTCATTCGTTTGCTTAGCACCGCAATTGCGGGGTTAGCAGGAGTTAGCACCACAATTGCAGAGTTAGCCCTGCTATTTTGCAGGGTTAGTTAACCCCGTACTATAGGTGGGGTTAGCCAACTTTAGCCCACTTTGGTAAAAGCCAGTGTGAACAGAAAGTGGAATAGGCTTAACCCCGTACTATAGGTGGGGTTAAGACCCCCCCCTTAACCCCACCTATAGTACGGGGTTAAGGAAAATATTGCCAGTGTGAAAAGCATATAAATGAGTTAGTGGCCTTATGGCTCCAAGCAGATGATACTGGGCCTGTAGGTACGGATTAAGTGCCTGCATCATCAGGGAATCCCCCTCCAGGACACCTTTCTTAAACCTTTGTCTCAGAGAGATTACACAAGTTGCAGGACTGCATTTTGGACATAAACAACCCAAGGATGAAATGGAAAGATGGTCTGCCATGCGCCAAAGTCAATGCATAAATTTGGTGAGTTGCGCCCTTCTAGCTCCGAACAGGTGGAATCCTACAATGGCTCCATACTGGTGGATCATGTGAGGCTGAACAAGCTCCTGGTGCAAATTATCTCCTTATCTCGTCCTTTTTTATTCTCTTTATCAGCGTAGGGTGAAAACAAGAGAGAGTAAAGCTGCGACTCAAATCTGATAATGGACCGTCACAAGTATTGTTGCCAGGTTTTTCAATCCTAATTACGATCTGAAGGGAGAGGGGGGTGTGTTTGCGCATCGGTGTTGAGTTAATGCAACAACGCCAGCTGTGACAGTATTAGTGTGGCTTTACATCTCCGTGGAGGGTTCTCGTAAGGGAAATGTTTGCAAACAGTTGTTTTGTTCGAGACACTTTGAACTTCTCACAAGGAATCTTCCAGAGGTTCTTCTTTCGTTGACACCTTGTGGCTACAACAAAAGTCCTTACTTCATCACAAATTAGATCAGCTGTAACAAGTATCCCTTTCAATATATGAAAAACTAGGGTGGGAAATTCAACTAGGAGTCTGTCGACCATGTGACAACAAGCTGAACTTGTCTGAAGCAGCCAGAATGAAACTATATATATCTTTGATGTGTTTTAGTTTTCCTTCTTCCCCCCCAGTCCTATAAATAAAAATGGATTTCTAAAACCAACAAAAGCACATTGAAAGGGTAAAGGCAAAGGGATAAATCGGATAATAGTAAGATGGCGCCATCTGGCTTTCTGTACATTTAGGCATATCTAACATACACTTGCATTAAAATGTTTTCTTTCTACAAGAACTGTATTATCTTGAATCTAAAGGTTCATATTGTTCATATTTATTGTCCATTTAACGATCAAAATTGTTCTCTTCATATTCCTTACACAGAGAATTATACTAAGAATTACAATTTGTATTCAGCAGTAAAAGCAGTGCTAATAATATGTATAATCTACTCATTTTGGCCAACATATTATAAATTCCTTTGTTTTTAAAGTAGTAAAGGTGAAATATCACAAATAAACATCTTGAATGACTGATAAACAAGAATCTACAAATTTACCTCAAAAACAATCATTTGACAGATATTTATGGCACAATGAGTGTGGCCTTGTCCTGAAAAACAGCTTCCGAACATAAATTTCACACTTGCACCTAGGAAAAATTATCTGAATCAAATTCTGACCTTGCGGCTACACTCGTGTCAATTGCAAAAGTCATCAGTTATTGGGTTGACATTCACATGTTCCTACTCAAATAAAAACAGCTTGCTCCGATCATATTCTCCGCAAAGAGATTTAGACAAGGAGATATCTAGAAGAAATTTGAAGATTCCCAATCACAGAGAAACAACTCAAATGTGTTCAACATCACAAAAACGTTATACATATGCTTCCAACTTCCTTGAACTAAAAGGAAAACTGGTATAATTTGTTGGGGAGAGAAGGGAAGGAGAGGGAGATGTCAGAACAAATCTGATTAGGGCAACAATTACACTCACCACATGAAATATTCAGCTGGAAACAATATATCAAATCATTAGCACTTCACCTTCTAGATAATTGCAGTAAGCAGCGAGCTACTGTTCTAATAAAGGCAAGACCTTTTGGGGTTCAACACAAATGCTATGTCGAGGTCTTCAAGTGTTTTTTGATAAAAACTAAGTAAAGATTGTTCTGTCTTGAATCACTGAAATTGATTTTTTTTCCCCCTCACATCCTCTTGTTTTCTTCAGATAAAATTTGTACTGCTTACTTGCAGTAACAA